GTTTATGCCTCCCATGGGAATTTCATGTCGCTGCCTGATCTGACAGGAAGGCAGAGGCTCAAGCAGCCAATGCGAGGGCAGTGGGAGTGGCTGTAAATACCGATGAAGCTTTTTTTTTTTTTTTGAGATGGAGTCTGCGCTCTGTCTCCTCAGGGCTGGAGTGCTAGTGGGCCGGATCTCAGCTCACTGGCAAGGCTCCGCCTCCCGGGTTCACGCCTATTCTCCTGCCTCAGCCTCCCGAGTAGGCTGGGACTACAGGCGCCCGCCACCCTCGCCCGGCTAGTTTTCTGTATTTTTTTGTAGAGACGGGGTTTCACCGGTTAGCCAGGATGTCTCGATCTCCTGACCTCGGTGATCCACCCGTCTCGGCCTCCCAAAGTTGCTGGGATTTACAGGCTTGAGCCACCGCGCCCGGCCTGATGAAGCTTCTCTTGCTCACCCACCACTCCACCTGCCTGCTGGCGGCCTGGTTCCTAATAGGCCATGGACCCTGGTACAGGCCCTTGGACTGGAGGTTGAGAACCTCTGACGTATATGACAGTGGTCCATAAGATCGTAGTGGAACTAAAAAAATTCCTATCACTGGGCCGGCGCAGTGGCTCACGCCTGTAATCCCACCACTTTGGGAGCCGAGACGGGTTGGATCACGAGGTCAGGAGATCGAGGACCATCCTGGCTAACACGGTGAAACCCCGTCTCTACTAAAATACAAACCCTATTGTGAACTTTGCATGTGAGGGATCTAGGTTGTGCACTCCTTGTGAGAATCTAATGCCTTATGATCTGTCACTGGCTCCCAGGAAAACAAACTCAGGGCTCCCACCGATTCTACATTATGGTGAGTTGTAAAATTACTTCATTATATATTACAATGCAATAATAATAGAAATAAAATGTACAAAAATATAATGCATTTGAAATCCTGAAACCATTCCCCCACCTTGGTTTGTAGAAAAATTGTTTTCAACGAAACCAGTCCCTGGTGTCAAAAAGGGTGGGGACTGCTGATATACACGGTCCATCATTAACCAAAACATACTTATGCTTCCCATGACTGTAGTTCTATTTTTCCCCAAATTCCTGATTATTTTGTCCTATTCTTAGGATGTTCTATTTATGTATCTTGTTCTATTCTTATGATGTTATTTTCCTCCATGTGTACACATACTGAACATTTTATATTCGAATACTGATTATTCTTCTATGTCAAATCGTTGTTAGTCTGATTTCGCTATCTATTACTTCAGTTGGCTTGTTCCTGAAACTTTATATCCTTGTATGATTCTGAATTTTTAAAATTCATAATCTCATATTTGATGGAATTTTATTTGTGGCAATATTTTGATTCCTGTACTGAGGTACATTCTTTCAGAAATCATTTGCCTTTGTTACATATAGGTGCCTGGAGACATTGCCAATCAGGACCACTTTAAACTAAATTTTCAGCTTAAAAGAGAAAAGTGTAGCCTGTAGGAGTAGGACTCCAGAATTATGTGAGTGCTGGTTTATAAAGACAAATGCTGAGGGCATATTCTCCAGACTCCACCCAGATTAGTCTTCTTCCTGAGGGATTTCCCCCTGTCATTTTGTATTTTGTTCTGATTCATCATTCACTGAGGATGTGGCCCTTTGGGGTTGCCACTAGAACCAAAACTTTAGGTTCTGGGGGAACCAGCAGATGCCTTGAGCACACAGCAGAGTCAATGCTTCCTTAGCTATCTGGCCTCCTGTTCTTGCTTTGGCATCTGAGGATTTTTCTTAGTTTCTTACCAGTTCAGCCATTTATTTATTTTTTTTTAAATTAAATGTATATCCATGAAATCCAAGGGTTTTGTGGTGTAAAGATTTTTCTGATATCCAGTCTGTTGTTGCCGAATGCAAGTAAGCCTTTCTTACTTTAATATTTTTTAAAAGTCTGTTGCCTTTAATAAATAAGCTTTTCTTAATAAAAAAATTTAAAAACATTGACTGAAATTTGTTTAAACTTCAAACAACCCTAAAGTCCCCCTCTTAGTCCATTTTCTGTTGACTGAGAATACCTGAGACTAAAACATTTGTTAAAAAATGACGCTTATTTAGCTCACAGTTCTGGAAGCTGGGAGGTCCAAGATCAGGGGGCAGCATCTGGCTGGCTTTTGGCGAGGGCCTTGCTTTGTGCCGTGTCATAACACAGCGCATAAATCCATTAAGGAAGGAGAAGGAGAAGCACAGGTGCAGAGACCAAACGTGGGAGGCAGCCTTGCTTATAACAACTCACTTGAGTGGTGACTAATCCATTCCCAAGCGAGCAAGAGCTTCCTTTCAGGAGAAAGGCATTGATCCCTCTTGAATGACCCAGTCACCTCTTAAAGACACCACTTCTCAACACTGCCACATTAGAGACCAAGCCTCAGCATGAGATTTGGTGTCATATTCCAGCCATGGCACCCCTTTCTCCTTTAAGTTCAACCCCTCAATCCCATTCCCCCTAAGGTAATTGCATGGAGACCATCTTCATTAGGATAGAAAAGTAAGAAAACAAGGCAACGTCTAAATGATCAGGACCCAAACTCACTGAAAATCCATTTAAGGAGTTTATTTTGTTTGATAATGATAATGTGGGCCAGGTACGGTGGCTCAGGCCTGTAATTGCAGCACTTTGGGAGGCTGAGGTGGGGGTAGATCACCTGAGATCAGGAGTTCGAGACCAGCCTGGCCAACATGGCGAAACCCCGTCTCTACTAAAAATACAAAAATTAGCTGGGTGTGGTTGCGTGTGCCTGCAATCCCAGCTACTTGGGAGGCTGAGGTGGCAGTGAGCCGAGATTGCACTCCAGCATAGGTGACAAAGCAAGACTGTTTCAAAAAAGAAAAGAAAAGAAAGAAAATCTGGCCTTTGACTTCAGCTGTCCTTTGAGTTAAGACACCAAAAAATAGTTTATGAAATAGTGGAACCTAAGGCGGATGGACCACACACATCCTGCATTTGAGTCCATGAATATGAAGTGAGAACACTCCTCTGGGCTATCTGGACTGTCAAATACCACTTATTCCACACACACTGAAAAATGTCCATTTTGATATATGTGAGCCTATTCCAAATCCAGACGAATCCCCATTTCATGCACTTAAAATAATGTCATCACTGTATTTGACTTTTTGGGAGGTAATCTTTCTACGCAGAGTGCCCCTCTCCTTACTAATCCCTTTGGGGTTGCAACTAAAAATGCGTTTTCATGATTCTAACTTTTATTTAATTAAAGGTAGATTAAAGTACCAGTTATGCTAGCTGGTTAATCTAATGAAGGGTGCAATCAGAGGCCATCAGCTGGTCCCAGAGTGGCTGAGTGCAACGGCTGCTGGTTGTGAGCACTGGGCAGGGTCTCTGTGTATTTCCCAGTGAGGAAAATGAAGGCAGAGCGCACAGCAGCTGTGGTTTCTGTGATATCAAGGGGGCACTTGGGGCCACTGGCCTTTCCCTTTTCTTTTTGTGTATACTCCCCGAACTTGGTGATAAGAGTTGCTTTTCATGTCTTAAGCCTCAAGACCATCCAGAGAGGAGAAGGGTGAAGGCAAAGAAATTAGTGAATGATGGAGGCGTCTTACTTTCAACTCCCTTGATCAAGAAGAAATGGCGCTTACTCATTCTGTTTCTCATTCCAAAAGTTATCTCTGCAAACTGGGGGCTGAAAGTGGGGAAGCGGGGGCTGATGAGAGGGATGAAGAGGTCTGGTAACAGGTAACCAAGAGGTGGGTGTTCTGGTGTAAAACTTGTGGGTTGTTATTACTTCGTTTACCTAATTAAAGGCTTATTTTAAAAAATTAACCTTATTCGAGATGTTGTATGGTTATTTACCCATCCCCTCCAAATCCCTCTTATATTCAAACTTGTGAATTTCATCTGTTTTTGGAAATAAGATTCTGCCAGAAAATCATTTTATATCATTAGTTAACCACAGTATATTCTTACGCCCTCAGTAAAGATGATTATATCTACCACTCTCTCCATAACCGGCTTGGTGATTATTACTAAATTACTCTTCAGCTTTTTCTAGTTGAGATAAAAATGCTTCTTTTAGCTTTTCTCATGGGCCTCTTCCCCTAGTCTTTCAGTCATCTTCAAAGATGTGTCTTAAAACCTCTTTTTAAGATCTTCATAAATCCATTAAGATCTTTTAAAATCCATAAATAGTTCATGTTGTGATAGCAGTTTGAGAGATGCTGGGAAAATGAAGGAATCGCTTCTGGAAGTCTTGCTGCATCCTACTCTTTGCTGAATCTCTGCGTCAGAGAAAAATGCTGATTCAGTTTGCACTTTCTACCTTTTATATCCCAATTTTTAAAAATGGCATTTGGCATCCTATTAGTGGAATATCATGAGTGCAGACAGAGTCAATGATAAACGGACAATTATGATTGAGATTTGGGAGTTACTAATCAATGCACTTCCATATTACTGGCTCTTAAAAACTTAGTGAAAGCATATTTAATTAGATTCCTACCAAAAAATCAATTTCTAAGAAGCACAGTTTTCAAGACCAGCCATTCGTAATAACATCTTTTCTTCTTTGTATATAGGAATAGGGTTTGTCTTCTGTTATGCCTTTGAGCTGTATGTTTTTGCTCATCCTGCTCTGTACCTGGGTAAACTGGTTTCTTCTTTAGCAACTGAGCTTAAAAATAGCTCTCCATGGAAGAACCGAACTGAAAGTTGTTCCAGCATTGAGGATGTCAGCAGAGACTAGCAGAGGAGATATGGTGGCAATACAAATATTTTAAAGGAGTGACTTAAATATATTCCTCTTGGCCAAGAAGATAAAAGGATTCGGAAATATTGAAGTATCAGGGGATACAAAACGTAAAACTTGAATTTCTCTGCCAAATTTTAGACTTGTTTTCAGGTTTTAATGCTTGTGTGGCCCCCTGCCTTTTGAAGAAAGAGCAGAAGGTATTGATTTGCCAACAAAGAAGACACTTAAATTTTAAATTAGGATACACAAAATAGTGGCAGAAAAGAGAATGGAAGGATTGATGGGTCATTTTATTTCTAGTCATATTTTAACTAATTCGGTTATAGGAATTCATTCATTTCAACTTAGGATATAATGCATTTGTCGAAAAGTAAAGGAAATATCTGGAGCTGATTAATGTAAAAGTCCTTCGAAAAGGTAAGTGCCTCCTAACCATGTTGATTAATGTAAATAGATGTTATTTTTTCAATTAGGAAAAGAGAGAGAGATGTTTGTATATTGACAACACTAAAGGCCAGGAATAGTGTGGTTTAGAGGCCAGAACTTAACCTGTGTAAGAACTTAGACAGTAAGTCTTATATTCATTTATATTCTTATAGTCATTTTATTCATAAGAAAATTGAAATATTAAGAAAAGTTTACATCTTTAGGGTTTACTTTAAAATAATCTAGAAGCAGGGATGAGAAATTTCATGGGGAGTGGGGTACAGATGAAACAAGATTGGCCGTAAATTGATACTTGTTAAAGTTGAGTAAGGAGAAAATGAGGTTTCATTATACTATTTTTTCAAAATGTTGTATGTATTTGAAGTTTTCCAAAATGAAAAGTTTTTAACACATCACTATAAACATCAAGATTCAAAACCAGATTTTGCTGATTTCAAGCTTGTTCTCTTGCTAACATATGATACAGAGAATAATTTCTGAAAAACTGAAGAGCAATTTGCCAACCAGATAGTAAATTAGGAATTTAAATTTTATTTTAGAAAGTAATGCTTGCACATTGAATAGCCTCAAACAAGCATATTGTATTGAACAAATGTGTAGTACTGAATCTATATGAATCTTAGTGCTAACATTTCTTAAATGGAAGCAATCTTTTCCTCTGTTGAACAAGTGTGACTACAAAATAGATTTTTAAAAAAATGTCCTGGCATTACTTCATTTAATTTTGTATTCTGAAATGATTTCTTTTTGCCTTTTTGCTTTTAAAGAAGATAGTTTCTAAATATTTTGTAGGAATTCTTATCTATTTATAGATAGGTAAGAATGACGATTTTTCCCATGAGACAGAGTAGATTTACAGAATTTGTGCACTAAGCTCTAGTAAGATTGAACTTTAGCTAGGGCAAGGAAAAACCTTTAGCGGTAGCTAATGAGAACCACTTCCACTGGAATGACCTCATGGCTTTAATTTTACACAGGTCTTTCATTCCTTCACCTGTTTAGTGAAAAGGTCACCTGTTTAATGAAAATGTTTCTGAAGAAATAGAACCTTAACTACACCGTATTTCCATGTCTCAATACAAAATTATTCTATTGAAGACATCGTGCTAAAGGAAAGAAACCAGAAGCAAAAGGCTATATAAAAAATAATTCCATTGCTCTGGCATTCTATAATGACAAACTGTATGGATAGAAAACCAATGACAAACTATATGGGTAGAAAACCAATCAGTGGTTGCCAGGGACGAGGAGTGGGGACAGGGGATTGGTGGCAGAGAAACATAAGGGCACTGTTTGGGCTGATGGAATTCTGCTTTATCTTCATTGTGGTGGTGGTCACACAGCTGTACATTTGCCCAAATTCATGGAACTGTACATAAAAAGTGTGAAGTTACTGCACATATATTATTTATCAACAAATCTTATTTTTAAAAGGATAAAGATAAATAGATATAGATATATAGTTTTGAAAATATGCCTCTTTGTCCATGAGAGCACAGTGGCCATGAACTTACCTGAATGTCAAAGGGAAGCCCCAGTCCTTGGTTGTCAACCACAGTCATAGTCATGATGGGTTGAATCATCAAGGCAATGAAGGGTTTAATTCCAAATGCCAGGGCATAGTCTTCCATGCTCAGATTAACTCCAATCTGAAATCTGTCATTGTACAAATGGAAAGAGTTGTAAAAGGATGCACACATGCGCATTCAAATACAAAACAGCAAATGGTGTTCTTCGCAAGGCTTTGCTCTGCTGAGGAAGCCCAGGTTTCTATTGACAGTTTCTTTCTAAAAGCTCTTTTAGCAGAGAGAGCCTGAAGAAATAGACAAATGGGATGGTGCAATGTATTTTAACGTTCCGTGGGATGGGATATAGTATGCTAAGAGTTTAAAACTAGTTAACCAATTCTAAAATTAAACCAAATTTTCAAAATACTCTGCAACTAGAAAACATTGAACATTATTTGAGATAAATACGGCTTAGCAAGTCACTTTTAAAATTAGACGTATCAGGCCGGGCACAGTGGCTCGTGCCTTTAATCCTAGCACTTTGTGAGGCCGAGGCAGGCGGATCACTTGAAGTCAGGAGTTTGAAACCAGCCTGGCCAACATGGTGAAACCTGTCTCTACCAAAAAACACAAAAATTGGCTGGGTGTGGTGGCGCATGCCTGTAGTCCCAGCTACTCAGGAGGCTAAGGCGGAGAATCCCTTGAACCCGGGAGGCGGAGGTTGCAGTGAGCCGAGATCATGCCACTGCACTCCAGGCTGGGAGACAGAAGAAGACTCTGTTAAAAAAAAAAACAAAAACTAAGTTTATCAATATGTGAAAACAGGTCAGCATGATGAATTTTTTACTTTTTTAAAGATTTAATCACTGGATTATTGATTGTCTGAGTTAGCAATTTCAGAGTCTAATTAGTCAATATTTTTCTGCAAAATCCACAAATTATTTCCTTTCATAGTTTATTCAATCTGGTAATTAATTCATTTTAAATAATTGTACTGAGATGTTAAATTTAGTCCGTCAAGATTGACATACATAGTTAAAGTTCTTCCATGCAATTTAGCTAAAACATTTGTAATGTGAATCTATTTACAAAATGAACCAAATGAAAAATGTGAACTATTTTTGTGTCCCTTCCAAAATTCTTTACATAAAAAAACAAATAGAAGCATTTTAAAACTGTGTGATTTAATGAAAAGGCATTATTTCCCTGCAAGATACTACTAACTAAACATAGCAAACCCCATAAATGACCCTAGGTCCCACACAGTGAACATGACAGGTGGTCCAAATGGGACTTGTAACTTCAGGTCTTTCTTGTTCAGCTAACAATTTTTCCCTTGAACAAATGTGGAACTGCATTGACGCTTTTAAAACTTAGATGAAATCAAATGGCAGATTTCCTCCTTTTAGTATGCAAATTATTTCATGTTGGAATCTTGATTTAATCTGTTCAGATGCCTAAGCAGCTTGACAGTGATTTATTTGGTTTTGGATAAGACCTCTACATGTGATGGATTAGAAAAAAACACAGTTCTGATGGTGGGCTCAGAGTGGCTTTGAATCCTAAGATTTTTAGTGCAAACCCCCAAATTATTTTCAAGATACCTGAAATTACATGTAATCATACTATCTAAAATCTTATCTTGAACCTCTGGCTGGGTTATTTCACGGTGGCCTCCACTTGGTTGCTGTGGAGACATTGAGCTACCATGCAGAGAACACTGCCTAGGACTAGCAAGTTCTTAGAAAATAATTGTTGTATTTATGTTCTTCCATTGCGTATTTGGCACTAAGTACAGGTGAGTCTCTGGAGTATTGTCTGTAATTTAAAAAATGGAACTACCTTGAAGCTGTATTCAATCATTTATGTATTGTGTATTATAGAAGTATGAGATTAGCATTTCCCAATTTACTCTATAACTTAAAGGAAAGTAATAGGAACATATGCTAAAGCATAAAAAAATTAGGTTGTGCCTGTATAACAATGAAATGGTTAAATTAAAAAAATTTCAGACTGGGTTCGGTGGCTAATACCTATAATCCCAGCACTTTGGGAGGCCGAGGCGGGCAGATTACGAGGTCAAGAGATCAAGATCATTCTGGCCAACATGGTGAAACCCCGTCTCTACTAAAAATACAAAAATTAGCTGGGTGTGGTGGCACATGCCTATAGTCGCACCTACTAGGGAGGCTGAGGCAGGAGAATGGCTTGAACCCGGGAGGCGGAGGTTGCAGCGAGCCGAGATCATGCCACTGCACTCCAACCTGGTAACAGAGAGAGACTCCACCACACACACACAAAAAATTTCAATAGCTCAAAGTTTTATTTTCATATTGTATGTATGTATTTTTTTTTTTTGGAGGAAATACTAACCGAGTGCCTACATAAAGCGAGAACTAGAAGAAACAGCAGAGGCATAACAGGGAACAAGCTAGACAATGAGGACACCCACGGAGCTTGCACCCCATCAGGGAATAAATTAGTACCAGATAACTGCTTTGATTAATTTTTAATTAAATTGATCAGTTTTTATGTCATGAAAAAAATGCAAAGTAAGTGTCTTTTTATATAATAATCACAAATTAGGCCAGGCGCAGTGGCTCACGCCTGTAATCCCAGCAGTTAAGAAGGCAGAGGCGGGCGGCTCACTTGAGGTCAGGCGTTTGAGACCAGCCTGACCAACATGGCGAAAGCAACATGGCGAAACCCCATCTCTACTAAAAATACAAAATTAGCCAGGCATGGTGGCGCATGCCTGTAATCCCACCTATTCAGGAGGCTGAGGCACAAGAATCACTTGAACCCGGGAGGTGGAGGTTGCAGTGAGCTGAAATCACACCACTGCACTCCAGCCTGGACGATGGAACCAGACTCCAAAATAAATAAATAAATAAATAAAAATCAAGAAATCACAAATTATTTTATGTAAACTTCTATCACACAATGATTGAAATCATGCACGGTCAACAGTCTTAGACTTTTCTTCTAAACCTGAATACTAACCCTTTGCATGAGATAAATTTATTCTACACTTGCTAAATTTGTAAGTTGCCTAGAAGTTGGAGCAGTAATTAGATGTAAATGAACTTACAGAGATTGAATTCACATATGTAGAAAATGATATTTTGTCAGTATGTTGAGTTAGATATGTAAATGATCATTTTATTTAGTGCCAAAGTTCACACATCTATTTGGTCAAGTTCCTTTTGTTCCTCTACTGAGTATGTCTCCAGACACTAAAATACTAGGTTTATTCAATCCTTGCCCAGTAATTACTTTTAAAAATGTATCCCAAATTAATTATGTCTGAAATGATTTTTCTCTTCACTAAACTTACTGACCATCTGAGTGAATTGACAAATTAGATAAAAGATGGCTGTGCAGGCCTTTGGTAGAAAACTCTGAACATTTTCTCTGGGAGAACCCTAACAGTTAGATAATGAGTCTCATTTTACGGCCTCTTAGAATCTCAGAATTCTCACTATTCATGTGGCTTAAACTTTCATGCCCGTAACAAAACATTCTGAGCATTTCTTAATTCATCAAAAGATTTTGTTTTTTCTAAATATCTCACATCCTGACAGTTAATTATTAATATTTTTCTAATTTCCCTATTTGTTTCCTCAGTAGAATGATGTTAAGTTGCATCCATCAGTAGAATGAGGTTAACATGCAGTAGAAATGCAATACGGCTGTGAACCATTATGTTCTGAAATACTCAAGACTAATATACATTTATCTTTTCACAACGTGGAAGTTATAGTCAGGAATAGTAAAAGTGACTGAAAAATCATTATTATTATTTTTACTAACTTTCAGGTTCTCCTTCCTAAGTATAGCCATTGACCATGAAACGAAACTGATTTAGGTTTGGCTAGAATTATTTTTCCTAATCAAGAGATTGCTAAGAGAAAACAAAATATTTAGCATGAATACTAGGGGAAGATAGAGATTTACTTCCTGTTACAGTAAGAAAATAGCAAGGTAAGCTAAAAATCATATTTTTCCATAAAGAAAAAAATAGGCATAAACTGGTGAAAATCAAATAAAAACAGAAAATCTAAAAGCAATTGCAGGCTGGGTACAGTGGCTCACACCTGTAATCCCAACACTTGGGGAGACCGTGTGGTGTCTCGCACCTGTAGTCCCAGCTACTCAGGAGGCTGAGGCAGGAGAATCGCTTGAATCTGAGAGGCAGAGGTTGCAGTGAGCCAAGATTGTGCCACTGCACTCCAGTCTGGCAGACAGAGTGAGACTGGGTCTCAAAAAAATAAATAAATAGGCTGGGAGTGGTGGCTCACTCCTGTAATCCCAGCACTTTGGGAGGCCAAGATGGGCGAATCACGAGGTCAGGAGCTCGAGACCAGCCTGGCCAACATGGTGAAACCCCGTCTCTACTAAAAATACAAAAAATTAGCTAGGCATAGTGGCGGGTGCCTGTAATCCCACTTAACATGGGAGGCTGAGGCAGGAGAATTGCTTGAACCCGGGAGGTGGAGGTTGCAGTGAGCTGAGATCGTGCCCCTGCACTCCAGCTCCAGCGACAGAGTGAGACTCTGTCTCAAAATAAAAATAAAAATAAAAATAACAAAAATTAAAATTAAAATAAAAGCAATTGCAACAAAAACAAAAATTGACAAATGGGACCTAATTAAACTAAAGAGCATCTGTACAGCAAAAGAAACTATCAACGGAGTAAACGGGCAACCTACAAAATGGGAGAAAATATTTGCAAACTATGCATCCAACAAAAATCTAATATCCAGAATCTATAAGGAACTTACACAAATTCATGAGCCAAAATCAAAGAACCCGATTAAAAAGTGGGCAAAAGAGGCGAGGCATGGTGGCTCACACCTGTAATTCCAGCACTTTGGGAGGCTGAGGCAGGCAGCTTGCTTGAGCTCAGGAGTTCGAGACCTGCCTGGGCAACATGATGAAACCCTGTCTCTACAAAATAAAAAAGATCAGCTGGGTGTGGTGGCACGCACCTTTGGTGCCAGCTATTTGGGAGGCTGAGGGGAGAGAATCACTTGACCTCTGGGGGCAGAAGTTGCAGTGAACTGAGAAAGATACGTAATCATCTCCCCTTTTTCATTTCTGATATTGATAACTTGTATTTTTTCCATTCTATGCATGAGCACTCTCTCTCACATTTATTAGACTTTTCAAATGACTAATTTGGCTTTGGTAATTTTTCCTATTGTACTATTTTCTATTCCATTGATTTTATTTTTTGTTATCTCTAACATTTTCTTCTTTTCTTGAGTTTCATTTGCTGTTCTCTTCTAGCTTCTGAAGATGAATGTTTAAGTAACTTAATTTTTGTCCTTTCTCTTTTTAAAAAATAAATGCATTGGAGACTGTATGTTTCTCTCCCTGCCCTGCTTAACTGCATCCTATAAGTTGTGATTTTTCATATTTTCATTGTCATTCAGTTCAAATTATTTTCTAACTCCAAGTATAATTTTTTGACCATGTTCTTTCTTTAATTATAAAACATTTGGGTATTTTTAAATTACAATTTTGCTAATGATTTTAGCTTAATTATGGTTGTCAGAATACTTTTTCCATATGATTTCAATCTTTTGGTATTTATTGAGGGCTACTTTTTGGCCCAGTTCAAGCCTGTTTTTGGTCACTCTTCTATGTTCACTTGAAAATAGCCTTTATCCTGCAGTGTGTACAGTTTCCACATACCCATCATTGCAACTTTATTCGACATGTAGTTTGAATCTTCCTAATCCTCACTGATGTTTTTTGTCTGCTTGTTATTGAGAAAGCTGTGTTCACATTTGCAACTGTGAGGGTGGACTTTTTTATTTCTCTAAATTTTTTTTGGTGTTTTGCTTAATACATTTTGAGGCTATGATTTTTGTGCATACAAATTCAGAATAGCTTTATTGGCCGGGCACGGTGGCTCACGCCTGTAAACCCAGAAATTTGGGAGGCCGAGGTGGGTGAGATCACTTGAAATCAGGAGTTTGAGACCAGCCTGGCCAACATGGCAAAACCCCATCTCTTCTAAAAATACAAAAATTAGTCAGGTGTGTTGGCACACGCCTGTAATCTCAGCTACTCGGGAGGCCAAGGCAGGAGAATTGCTTGAATCCGGGAAGTGGAGGTTGCAGTGAGCTGAGATCATGCCACTGCACTCCAGTCTGGGTGACAAAACAAGACTCCATCTCAAAAAAAAAAAAAAAAAAGAATTGATTATTTACCTAGTTGTTAATTAACACTTTTATCATTATGAAATGACTATGAAACTTATAATGAAAAGACAAATCACTCTGGTGTTGTTGCTTATTTCATCTGATACTGGGATAACTAAATTAGCTTTCCTTGTATTAGCGTTTGTACAGTATATTTTTTCCCATTTTTTAACTTTCAAACTTTGGAGCCCTTATTTTCAAGAAGTGTGTCTTGAAAGCAACATAATTAGGTTTTCAGTTTTAAAATCCATTCAGCTGACTTTTATCTTATAATTGGAGTAATTAGTTCAGGCACATTTTGATGATGTTGCTGCTATACAGGGTTTTAAATTTACCATTTATTTGTCCTGCCTGATTTATGTTCCTTGATCTGTTTCTTGTCTTTTGTTGCATTAATTAAGTTTAAAAACACTTTCCCTCCCTTCATTAGCTTGTTAGTACTATCTTACTGTATTATTCTTTTAGTAGTTACCATATATATTACAGCATGAATTTTTGACCTAGCAGAATCTTCCCTAAAATAGTATTTTCACCACTTCTTTGACAATATAAGGATTTTGCAGTACTTTAAATCTATTATTTCCCCTTCCGTTTGTGCTATTACCATCATAAATTTTAACTCTACGTATATTTTTATTTATTTATTTTTTTTGAGATGGAGTCTTGTTCTGTCGCCCAGGCTGGAGTGCAATAGTGGGATCTTGGCTCACTGCAATCTCCCCCTCCCGGGCTCAAGCGATTCTCCTGCCTCAGCCTCTCGAGTAGCTGGGATTACAGGCACCCACCACCACGCCCAGCTAATTTTTGTATTTTAGTAGAGACAGGGTTTCACCATGTTGGCCAGGCTGGTCTCAAACTCCTGACCTCAAGTGATCTGCCGGCCTTGGCCTCCCAAAGTGCTGAGATTACAGATATGAACCACTGCGCCTGGCCTCTACATACATTTTTAAAACTAGAAATGTTAGGCCAGGTGCGGTGGCTCACATCTGTAATCCCAGCACTTTGGGAGGCCGAGGCGGGTGGATCACTTGAGGCCAGGAGTTGGAGACCAGCCTGACCAACATGGTGAAACTCCTTCTCTACAAAAAATACAAAAAAATTAGCCAGGTATGGTGGTGCACACCTGTCATCCCAGCTACTTGGGTGACTGAGGCTCGAGAATTGCTTGAACCTGGGAGGCAGAGGTTGCAGTGAGCTGAGATTGCACCCCTTCACTCCAACCTGTGCGACTCTGTCTCAAAAACCAAGATTTGCTTAGATTTAGTTACATATTTATTTTTTCCAGTATTATTTTTCCTATATTATTGCAATACTAATGGTGATCATTTTCATTCTGCCTAAAGAATTCCCTTTATATTTCTTTTAGTGTACACCACAATAATTTTGCTTAATTTTTGTCTTAAAAATATCTTTATTTTGACTTAATTTTTGAAGAATATTTTTGCCAAGTATAAAATTCTAGGCTAGCAGCTTTTTAGTTTTCGCACTTTAAAAATGTTCTTGGGCAGAGGGCAAAAGTTGAAAAACTACCAATTGGGTACTAAGCTCACTAGCTGAGCGATGGGATCAGTTGTATCCCAAACCTCAGCATCATGCAATATACCCACGTAACAAACCTGCACATGTACGCCCTGAATCTAAACTAAAAGGTGCAATTATTTTTAAAAGATAAAAATAATAGGCTGGGCGTGGTGGCTCACGCCTGTAATCCCAGCACTTTGGGAGGCCAAGGCGGGCGGATCACGACGTCAGGAGTTCGAGACCAGCCTGGCCAACATGGTGAAACCCCATTTCTACTAAAAATACAAAAATTATCCAGGCGTGGTGGCGGGCGCCAGTAGTCTCAGCTACTTAGGAGTCTGAGGCAAAGACAGCTGAACCCAGGAGGCAGAGGTTGCAGTGAGCTGAGATCGTGCACTGCACTCTAGCCTGGACAACGAAGCAAGACTCCGTCTCAAAATAAATAAATAATTAGAAATAAAAATTAAAATGTTGTTTCATTGTTTTCTGGCTTCCAGTATTTCTGTTGAAAATTCACATGTCGTTATTACTAATACTCCTTAGAAAGAAATGTATCTCATCTTCATTTTATAGACAAATAGACTAGAAAATTTTAAGGCCACAGGGCAGTAATGCTGCCAGTAATGTTCAGCCAAGGAAAATATTTTCAGATGTTTATTTCTGATTAACTTGTTGTATAGAATGAAACACATTGTTACACAGGAAATGAGAAGTAGCATTTAATTCCTTGAAGTGTTCTTCAACCAGTATCTACCACCTCCTTAGCTCATTTTCTGTACTTTATGATTAATCTAAATCAAATACTTCGTATTTTTAAACTACTGTGTGATATAGTATTTATCTGTAGTTTAATAGAACAGCTTCACTTCTATAACAGCCCTGAGAATATTTGATAAGTTGTTTCAAAAAGAAATAGATACGCTCTGACTATTCAAGCAGGAAAAATGGGAGTGAAAATTAAACTTAGTCAAAATTAGAATCGTATCTTATACTATGTTGCTAAATCAGACAAAATCAAAGCCTAACAACATATTATTGCTTATGAATTGTAAGAACTTCATTTATCCTCCTGATTAGGAATCTTAGTCAAGTCTTAAGAGAAAGTTGATTCAAATGGGAATATAGTTTCATTGTCTCTTGTAGGAAGCCTTAGGTATAACATTGCAAAATGCTATTCAGAGGAGCTGGAAGAATAAATAAAGATGTTTTGTTGCTTTAAGTAGTTTAAGTAGTTAAAAGAAATAGATGGTAAATACTTACACAGCTATGGTTGTAAGGAACATAAAACTTGACTTGAATATCAAGAGACCAGCATAGCACACCCAAATATTAGTTGTGAAATGCATGAGAAATAGAGAACCTGCATCTGCTCCTGAGAAGATCACCAAGGATAATTCGCCCAGAAGATCCCAGTTGACTTTGACTTTGATGTAGCCACTGTGAAGGCTGCCATGGCCCCTAAAATAAAATAAAATAAAAAAAAAAGATAAACTACATCTTGTTAATCCATGTATAGTAAAATAGCACACAGTTTTGTTAAAATCCACAGTTACAGAAGCACTGAAGCATTTTCAGACTATAAAAAAAAAAAAGCTGACTTATTGTGTACTTTGAATGAAAAATTGCTTGATCCACCTCTGTGAACTGTACATATCATTTTCTCTTAAGGGTTGAAATAGACCAGCTGAATTTAGGCTTCCATAAATCATAGACTGGAGAGGACCCATGGAGAGGGCCATTTTTTTCTTTCCTCTTCCCTTTGCAGATGTTAAAACTCAGGCTTAGAAACCTGGTGTCAAATAAAAAAAAGTATGTGACTTAGATAGGAGAGGCTTTATTTAGAAGAAAGGCTATTGCAATAAAAAGAACTCTCTGATTGCAGAAATCTGCATGATTCAAGATCAAACAGAAAAAGGATTTTTTTTTATAGGGTAAAGAGGGTACAAGCGGAGATAAGCAGAATCTCTGTAAAGGAAGCTGGATTCCCAGGGGGAAATGGTCAGTGGAGTTTGACAGGAAAATATCCCACTGTGGTCAGCCAATTCCCGTTTGGAGCTGATAAGGGGGACACATTCCACATTTTTTTGTGTTTGCTCAGGGTTTGGAGTAAGCAACATTTAGGGGCCTGTGGGAAAGCCAGGAGCCTGACTAAAGTCTGGTCAAGACAAACAGAGGGTAAGAAATGGGGAACTGTGAATGCCCGGTCATCGGACTGAGGTGCACAAGGTCTGCAGTCTAAAGTTTCCTAATGTGTGGTGCCGCTCTTTTCTCCCACGCCCTTTCTGTGAGCCTATTACCAATGCCTTAGGAAAGATGGCCTCTCTCTTTCCTTTCTGTAACCCCATTTAAAAAAATTTCCTCAAGATGCCTGACAGATGCCAAACTTTTCTATATATATATATATTTCTCTCTCTCTATATATATATTTATATATCTATAAATATATACATTTATTTGTGGAGATGGGGTCTCGCTATATTGACCAGGCTGGTCTCAAACTCCTGGCCTCAAGCAATCTTCCCATCTGGGCCTCCCAAATATTAGGATTACAGATGTGAGCCACTGTACCTGGCCTGATCATGCCCTTCTTTATTTGTTCCTTTCTTCCTTCTTTTCTGCCTTCCTTCTTTCCTTCATTTGTTAAACCAGCAAGTACTTTTGAGCTTCTCTGTGGAACAATATAGTGGTAAACTTTGGGTCCGTGCTTTGAAAACAATACAGCCTAGTGGGGAAATTAGATAAATAAATTTAAGTTAATAAATAAATTAAAAAATACAGTGTGATAAGGATTATAAAAGAGCTCTGTTGGGAGGCCGAGGCAGGTGGATCACCCGAGGTCAGGAGTTCGAGACCAGCCTGACCAACATGGTGAAACCCCATCTATACTAAAAATACAAAAATTAGGGGGACTGAGGCAGGAGAATTGCTTGAGCCCGGGAGGTGAAGGTTGCAGTGAGCTGAGATCACGCCATTGTACTCCAGCCTGGGTGACAAAGCGAGATTCCATCCCCCCCAATCCCTCCCCCACAAAAAAAAGCTCCGACCCTAATCCAAATCTTATCTAGTGGTTGTCAACCAGGGGTATTTTTGCCTTCTAGTGGACAAGTGGCAATATTTGAAGACATTTTTGGTTATCACAATGGGGTGCATCCTGGCAACTAGTGGCTTAGAGGCATATGATGTTGCTGAACATCCTACAGAGCTCAGAACAGCCCCCTGGACAAAGAATTGCCCAGCCCAAGAGGCCAGCAGTGCAGAGGATGAAACACCAATCCAAGCCCTGACCTAACCAATCAAACGTTAGGAATTTTCAGGGAGGGAAGTGAGAAGAATGTGAGCTCAACAATAGGCCCCGCTTTGTTCAATAAACAGGTGGGTGTGGAACAACTTGGCTTTAGAATAAATAGCTTCAAAGTCTCATTTGATATGAAAACTTTGTTTTGTCAGGAAAGTACATGCAGATTGTTGGGCTAACTTCAAAGACGGCTCTGGGGCCTGCCCTTTGTCCCCTGGAGTATTAATGCCCGTGTCAACCCACCTCTCCCTCCTTGCACCACATTGTCTTTGGAAGAGTGTTTTAAACCTCACAAAGTATATTCTGTGAGAGACGAGGAGTGCCTGGACAATTATCTAAAACTCTCCAAACTACTGTAGCTTCTGAGCCAGGAGGAAGGTTTTGCCCAAGCAGAAGGCCCAGGAGGGGCCTTGAAGGGTGAACCCAGTAGCAGGAGCTGAAAATCCTCAATCCTGCAGAGACCTTCCCAAGATTTCTCTTTGTTGCTCAGTCTTCCTGCCTTTTTCCTGTCAGACAACACACAATATCAGAAATTCATCTTTAGATAAGGAGGAAGGAGACACCAGGAAGGGACAGCAATGATGCTCAGGCACACACATACCCAGTAGGAGGGCCAGCCTCATCCACCACCTCCTACCTTGCCTTTCTCATAGGGCACTTGTTTCCTGCTGTCATTATCACCATAATTGAGGATTCCTACTTGTTAAGGGGTGCTGTGTCTGAGGTTTTTATTAAGGACAATGGAATAAAAACATAATATGCATACAAGGCCAGACAGAAAATTATACAGGATAATACAATAACTTGGTTGTGGAGAGAAGATAGAATGAGCAGTTATAAGAATTCATTCTGGGCCGGGTGCGTGGTGGCTCACGCCTGTAATCCCAGCACTTTGAGAGGCTGAGGTGGGTGGATGACGAGGTCAGGAGATCGAGACCATCCTGGCTAACACGGTGAAACCCCGTCTCTACTTAAAAAAAAAAAAAAATTAGCCAGGCGTGGTGGCAGGCGCCTGTAGTCCTAGCTACTCAGGAGGCTGAGGCAGGTGAATGGATTGAACGCGGGAGGTGGAGGTTGCAGTGAGCCAAGATCGCACCACTGCACTCCAGCCTGGGTGACAGAGCAAGACTCTGTCTCAAAACAAACAAACAAAAAAAACAAACAAAAAAAAAACAAAAAAAGAATTCATTCTGGGGTTAATTGTTGTTTGAGCAAATAAATACCTGGATATGGTAGAGAATGAGGAAGCTGGGTGTAGCGAACAGTCTGAAATCAGAGGGCAACAAGCTTTGGCAAATCCCCATATGTACAGTTAAGGAAATATGCAAGTACATTATTCGTCTTGCTGGGAACCCTGATATGTATAAGATAACTCCAAAAGCAGAAGCTTTCAAACTTCTTTGACCATAGCCTGAGGAAAATATATTTTATATATTAATTAGTGCATATATATGTGTGTGACCAGAATTTTTGCAAAACAAAATGTATCCTTACAAGCTGATAATGCTCCCTATTCTATATTAGACTAGTCTACTCTGTTTTAAAAATGCTGGTCAGCAACCCACTATATTGAGTTCAAGATCCACAATTTCTAAAGGGCCAGATACTGAATATTTACAGCTTATGAGCCACATATCCTTTTTTAAAACTCTTGTTGCATTTTTTTCTACAATCCCTTAAAAAGGTAAAACTATGAGCTGCGGTCACCGATGGCTTAGGTCAGTTTATGCATATCAGGTCTGCAGACCATTACCTGAGTGTGCCCACCTCATGGTAATGTGGTCTGCAAACCACACTTTTTTATTATTATTATTTTTTGAGACAGGGTCTCACTTTGTCATCCAGGATGGAGTGCAGTGGTGCCATCGCGGCTCTCTGCAGCCTTGACCTCCTGGGCTCAAGTGATTCTCTTGCCTCAGTCTCCTGAGTAGCTGGGACTACAGGTGAACGCCACCACACTCGGCTAATTTTCTTGCATTTTTTTGTAGAGATGGGGTTTCATCATATTGCCCAGGCTGGTCCACCTGCGTTGGCCTCCCAAAGTGTTAGGATTAAAGGCATGAGCCTCCACACCTGGCCTTTCAAACCACATTTTAAAGACTAGAGTTATTGAAAGATTCCAGAAAGAAAAAAGACTTTTTTTCTATTTTTTTTTTCCAAGATAGAGTCTTGCTCTGTTGCCCAGGCTGGAGTGCAGTGGTGAGATCTCGGCTCACTGCAACCTACGCCTCCCAGGTTCAAGCAATTCTTGTGCCTCCCAAGTAGCTGAGATTACAGGTTCATGCCAGCATGCCTGGCTAATTTTTGCATTTTTAGTAGAGATGGGGTTTCACCATGTTGGCCAGGCGAGTCTTGAACTCCCGACCTCATGCTCCACCCACCTTGGCTTCCCAAAGTGCTAGGATTACAGGCATGAACCACCTTGCCCAGCCTGTTTGTTTTATGAGACCGTCTCACTCTGTCACCTAGGCTGGAGAGCAGTGGCACAATCATAGCTCGCTGAAGCCTAGAACTCCTGGGCCCAAGTGACCCTCCTACCTTCAGCTTCCCCAGTTGCTAGGACTACATGCACACACCACCATGCCCAGCTAACTAAAAAAAAAAAAAATTTTATAGAGACAGGGTCTCAGTATGTTGGCTGGCCTGGTCTCCTGGCCTCCCCACCTTAGCCTCCCAAAACTCTGGGATTACAGGCATGAGCCGCCATGCCTGCCTGAAAAGAGTTTTGATAGTTTAACCTTAAACCGTCTAACTCTGCATGGTCCAACCATATTTGACCAGCAGGACACCAGTTTGTAGCTCCTGTTTTTAGGGATGAGTGTAACTTTATCTTCCACGTATATCTTTTTCAAAGTTTTATTACATTAGTTGCCTCTTTTAAATTTGTGACAAAACTCTTCTTTTTCAAACTATTTGGTAGTTGGTGTTGAAATCACTACAACAGAATTATTGATGAATACAAATTTGAAAGTTGTATTATTTATTTTACGTTCAGGAAAATTAAATAAAAACAACGAATTTTTACCTAAGATACTACAGTACACAAATACTTCCCAATGCATGGTATCTTTTGATCGTTAAAGCAATCCTGTACAGTTACCCAGGAGGCTGAGGCAGGAGAATCGCTTGAACCAGGGAGTTGGAGGCTGCAGTGAGCCACTGCACACTCCAGCCTGGTGACAGAGTGAGACCCCGTCCCAAAAAAAACAAAAAAAGAGCAATCCTGTGAAATAAACTAGTAGATACTGTTCTGGCCTTCAAAAAGAGAAGAGAAAACGGATTGCTAGAATGTTCATTGATTTGCCTACTTGGCAAATGATAGAACATAGATAAAAAATTGAGCCCAGGG